TGAGATTCCTTTCTTCCCAAAGAGTCCAAGTCAAGGCAGCATGAGCACATCTCCACATAATTCTCCCTATTTTTGTAGGCCAATAAAAGGTAGAATGGGTGAAGAGCATGTGAACAGAATGAGGACTGTTACCACTTACTGATTTATTGTTCTTTTGTTGCAGCTATTTGGAATTGGGTATTTGATCTGTTTGGGTGCAGGTGGAACTTGCTGGCTGAGGTAAATTTGTTGTTTTCTCCATCTACCTTTGTGTGCCCCACAAGAAGAGGGAGAATTATGTTAAAAGTGTATAAGAGCAGCTCTCTTATGGACTATTTGGGAAGTAGAAAGAAATGCCATAATTTTTTAGAAGAAGTAAAGAACCATTCTTGAGGTCAATGAATGTATTTTTCACAAGAGCTATTCTATGGCTGAAAACCTTAAAGCTCTTTGAAAAACACTCCTTCAATGATATAAGGAGGAATTGGTCTACAGTTGCCTTCACTTCTTGTAAGAAGCCCAAAACTCAAGTAACTTGGACTCCGCCTATGGAGGGTTTTGTTAAGCTGAATTTTGATGGGAATAGTTAGGACAATCCAGGACCGTCTGGTATTGGTGGTGTATTGAGAAACGAGAACAGAAACATTCTTTCTTTTTTTCAGGACTGGTGGGAATAGGAGACTCTGTGAGGGCTGAACTCCTAGCTGCGGTATAGAGGATACAGATTGCTTATCAATTTGGAGTGCAGAACTTAATAGTTGAAGGAGATTCCAAGGTGGTAGTAGGATGGTTGGCTGACCCGGGTACTGCCACTTGGGGCTTTAAGGATGTCTTAAAAAAGGTTAAATGGTTCACGAGCAATATGACAGTTGGGTTTCAGTGGGTGGGTAGATCAGCAAATGCCTTAGCTGATTATCTTGCTAAACAAGGGGCTACTCAGGTTACTTTGTACTGGGCTTCTCTGTAATTTTCTTTGTCCTTTGTTTTATTTATTCAACTAAAGGGTTGATAGAATCCTCCATCTCCCCTCCTTAAAGGGGAGGTAGCATCTCATGCCTCTCCTTGATTTGTACTCTCTTTGGCTATGATTTAATAAATCTTTCTATTCAATGATCAAAATAAATACCCAGTAGAATAGCTCTTGTAAAAATACACTCATTGAATCTTACTATTTAATACACAGCAGAACTTACTACACTCAAAGAATCCTACCAAAGAATGGCATATTACACTCATTTATTTAAAAATAAGGTTTAGATGGTGCAAATTACACTCATTGAATCATACTACACTCAAAATAAATACCCAGTCCCTTGGCTATGCTAAAATGTACAGGGAGGAATGGAAATTTGCACCATCTGAACTCCATTATTCGATTCATGTTCCACACAACCAACTAAAACGATGAAATAACTAACTGCGAAATCTGCCAAAGAATCCCTACAATAATTTTTCTTTTCCCTTATTTTATGAAATGTAAGGAGTAAAACAAAGATAAACAAACAATAGGGGAGAATATGAGAACATACATGTGGCTGTATTTCCATCCTCCCTCCAACGATAACCAATCCTGCATCTCCATGCTTTAGGGTATAGTTACTTATAGAAATTGCTATCTCCCTATGATGAGCACCATGTGGAAAATCCTCCTGTCAAAAACTACAAAAGAATAAGTGGATCTATGAAACTTAAAAGTAACTAAAATATGACTATAAAGGGCGAAACACACTCTGCATACCTGCAAGTTCGTCTCCCATAGCTTTTTGAGGTTGTGATCAAAACACATAACTGACCAACCTGACGTGACAACAACGAGGACCTGTTTCTGTACTTCCCCGTGTTTATAGGTACGATCAATAACACCTGTGGCCATGGCTACAGCACGTCTCCCAGATGAAACGCGGATTTTGTCAGGCAACAAGGAGACCTCGGCCCTCAGGCGTGCTTCAGTGAATCCTCCATCTACTCGCCTACTCTGAGGCTCCAAAATCTAAAGAAACCATAGATAGTTGGGGAAAAAAGATAAAACAAAAATAATAAAAACAGCAATAAGAAAGGAAGTGAAGTCTGAGAAAGGAGCACAGTGAGCAAAGAATTTGTTATAAGCCTTATAATGTCAAGATTGCAACCAAAAAGTATCGTACTTCAGAAAACGCGTCGGGAACATAACTTAAATAAATATGCTTTCCTCTGTTTCAATGACAAAATCCAAAGTCTCATACCGGATCCTCTATCAACCTCAATATAAGGGCAGAACCACTCCCCAAATAAGGCACATCTATGCACCTCATAGCGATACAACAATAACTTCATGGTCAAGAAAGAGCCACAGCCAACCAAACACAAAATGAAAATGTAAAACGTTGATCGGACTAGTAAGCATCTACTGCATAAATCACCTGAATTTTGGCGTCATGAGTTGCCACGAGAATTTCACTCCTTCCATCACCATTAAGATCGGCAACTACTGGTGGCGGGAGACGTTCAGCCTCATATTTGATGGGGTACTCGTCCAAAAGGTGAAACCACGCCTCCTTGAATGAAAAATCGCCTTCGTGCTGAAAGAGAAACACGGATATCCACTTGCGCTATCAAAGACAGCTCGAATCTGTACGGTTTACTTAATTACAACATCAACTCGAGGTATCTATTTTTAAGGAGATGGACCAGAACTTGAGAATGATGATATTGATCGATCTTTTAGGGTTCTGGTGCCAACCAAACGTTTCTAGAAAATAAAACAAAAGAAAAAAATGAAATACGGACCTGAAGAGAGAAGAATATAGCAAAAGCAGAGAGAAGCAGAATGGCCAAGTCTCGTTTCCTCATTTCTCGTCGTCCTCGTCTCTCTGATTGATCACGAAATCCAACTTCGTGAGGAGGATTTGGAAAGAAGGGGCTAAAGAGTAGGAGAAGTGAGTCTTTATTTTTTCAATTTGGTACCAGGAGTAAAGTCCTATGAGAGGGAAGCGGCGTTCGGCCGTTCGCTCTAGGTTGTGGTGGTCGACTGGTCGGATTCGACTCGGGAAAAAGAAAAGGCTGCGTTTCCGATTAGGGGTGATTGTGGGCTGAGCTGAACCGGAATACCAACCATGATTATACCGGTTCATGGGCCGGGTACCAACGGGCCGGCCCGTTCTTCGTCAGGCTTCGACGCAAATTTAGGCCCACGGTTTTTTTTTTTCCAAATAACAAAAAAAAACTTAATTAAGCAAGGAGGATTACAAGAATAACTTGCATTTACGTACTAGTCCACTACTATATTATATTTACATTCATCATAAGCTAATTTACGAATAGAAAAGATTTTTTGGTTCGTGCCAAAATATCTATTTATATACTTAAAACATTTAGAGGTATACAGTGACCCAAATGCTCAAAACGTCTACTGTTTTGAGGATTCCGTATTTAACACGTGGTCGGCTTGGTCCCAACGGGATCTAAAGGATCTCTCGCAAAGGAGTCGGAGACTTTAATCTTAAAGTCACAGGCAAAGTCTCGCGTCCGGCTCCCCTGTGCTCCAACGGATCCAGTCGCGTCTCGCAAAGGAGAGTCTGTCAGGGACTCTCTTAACAGGCGAGTCCGGCTTCAGAGATAATCTGCAGCCTTGATTTTCCCAGCTAAATCCAGCGACGACTGTAGACATTTGTTGATCGTTACAGAGAGATAGCCTGCAGCCTTGGTTATCCCAGCTAAAGCCAGTGACGACTGTAGACATTGTTGATCGTTGCAGAAACATGGATATCTCCGTTGTCACTGGTATTGGTCTCGCTCTTACTCGCTGTGGGTTTTCTGTAAAATTTGATTTTTCTTTTTCTATTTCAAATTCTTATTGTGGACTATTGGATTGGTTCAAAATTGGTACATTGGATTTGGTGGATATTTTTCTTCTCACTTTGGTTCTATTTGGTTTGTTTCTTCCATTTGCATGCTTTTTCTTCTTTAATTTTCTTCATTTTGTCTAAAAGTTGGATCCAATGGAAACATCTGTAACCTTGTCTGGTTTTATTTTTATTATTCTAACGAAGAAGAAGAAGAAAAAGAAGACTGAGCTGAAGTTCCTGATCCTTGAATGACCTTTGGACTTCGAGGTCTTCAGCCTAAGGAGCACTAAAATGCTTCTTCTATTAATAGTGTTAATGTTGTGCAACGTGTATGGCCTTAATTGTTTATGACTTGATTGTTCCGATATTAACCGATGAGCTCAAATCAACTGCGTCCTTCATCACAGTAAATCCTTGCGACCATCCATTGAAACAAGGACACGCTCAGTAGCGATCCAAACCCAAACCGGATGACCCGAAATGATGTTGTCCATGGAGTCCGGGCAGAGTCTCGCGTGTAAACGGATCCAAAGGATCTCTCTCTTAATAATTTATTATTATTATTATTGGTTTTTATAATTAATAATGTATTATTAATATATTACTAATAATTATTTACTGCTAATTATTACCAGTAATTTTAATTGATAATATTATTATTATCCAATATTTATTTGATTTAGTCAAATTAATTAATTATAGATGCAATTATTATTTCATTAATTAACTAAAAACATTAATTATAACAATTGAATTATTTAGTAATAATACTATTATTAAGCAAATAAAATCATATTACTAAATAATTCAATTTCTTAATTCAAATATAAATATAATTATTAAATAATTAGTGAAACTCAAATAAAGCAATATTATTGCAATAAACAAAAAAAATGTAAAAACCTAAATCATACATGCATGTGACTGCCCCATAATGGGGTCAAACGCTAAATAAAATATGGTAAATACCTTTAATTAAATAAAAATCTATCAAAAAATTAAATGAATTTGTTTGGTTTTGGGGATGTTTTGGGGGGTCAGCCCGGCACGGCCAATGGCCCGAGCTTGTACAGGCCCGTGATGTGCCACGGGCTGGTCTGGTCTGTGGGCCAAAGCCATTGAAGGCTTATTTAAAAAATTTGAAAAAAAAAAAACTTAAAATTTTTATTTTATATGAATTTTGATGTATACAATTGTTTACATATACAATAATTAAGTAAAGCATTATAATCACATTTATGTCTTACAAATTCTGAAAATTGGTAGTTTTTTTATTGGACATTTACTTTGGGTTTATTATTGTTCTGGTTACTGATTTTGTTCTCTTGAATTTGTGTAGGATTTCATTTAGCAAGAGAACTTTTCTATTTGCTACTGTGTTACTCTGTCTTTTTTTTTTCTTTAATAAAATCCAGACTTTGCAAATTTAAGAAGCATTGTAAAGGGTTTAGATCGCCGCTAGTGATGACTGCAAATTTAGGAAGCTAAATACAGTTAACAATCACCAGTGATGACTGTTGGTTTCCACAGTTGGAGAGGGAGAGAGAGTGAAAGGGGTCGGGTAAGTTGGTCCTTGTTGTGGCGTTCCAAAGGATGGGAGCAATGAATAGTGCCATTGAAATTTGAGTTGGTGTGCAAAATTTAAGAAAGGGTAATTTGGTCCCTAAAAAGAAACTTGTTGTTGTTACCAATGTTTTGTAATATATTTCTAAACGTATCTGATTTTTTTGTGTTTTATGTAAAAAGCCCAATAATTTAAACATTTTTTAATGCAAACGTCAAAGTTTAAGAGCAAAGTCGGCCTTCATGGGAAAACAATATTCCTTCTACAATACAATAAACTATTTGTTTATTTATTTATTTTATCCAGTTTAATAAAATATTATCTAAACATTTATTTATTTAATCAAATTAAAATATATTGTTTATTTTTATTTATTACTTTTTTTATTGTGAGAATGACGGTTCAGCCTAGGGTCAGAATTTTTAGGCCCAAAGTATAGTTGGGGTAGGTGCCAGCTCGGAATTTATGCGAATTCACAAGCGGGCATCAATGTATAGAGTGGGGGTTTTTGACATTTTGAATGTTTATAGCTTTGTAGTGGAAATCAGAAATCTGCATTGAGCATGTCCGTACTTCTTTGCTTTTTTATTTTATTTTTGATTTATTTATTTAGTTAGGAAGGAATAATTTACTAACAAACTATAATTACTAGCAAAAAGGTAACTAGATTAGGGTTATCAATGGGTTGGATCTACCTAAACTTGTTCATGGGCCGAGTAGCCCAATGGACTGGCCCAGTCCGTTATTAAGTCGAGCTTGGTCATAATTTTAGGCCCATAGGCTCAGGCTCAGGCCTAAAGCACCAGGTCCGACTTTTTTTTTGTCCAGGCTTGGGCCTAAAGCACTGGACCCGACTTTTTTCGAGTCGGGTTCGGGCTTTCTTAAAAAAGCCCGGCCCGAGCCTAAGCCCGACTTTATACTATATATTAAATAATAAGAATATATTTTATTTAATAAATATATATAATATTTTTTCTTTGTTATTCTTCTCTTTTTTTTCATGTAATAGTGAGATGTTTATTATTTTTGAGTTTTTGAAGGTTTTTAATATAAATAAAACACTTTTTATTGAATATAAAAAGAAAAAACCTTCTAGTCGAGCTTGGGCTCGGGCCCAGGCTTCGGGCTTTATATGAGGTTGGGCTCGGACTCAAGACTTGGGCCTGAGTGTATTATGTTGATACATATACAAAGACCGGCCATGAATAGGTCTAGGTCTACCAAATGGATTGAAACTGACCGAACCAATTATAATAGTTCCAGTTCTACAATTTTGTCTCTATTAATGGTTGGTGTGTGTGTGTGACTTTTTATAATTTTTATCATATATTTATGTTTGAAATAGTAAATTTGATAGATAATAATAAGATAATATTATTTTAGTCTTTATTGTCTTGTGTTGAGCATTGAACTTTCACCATGAAGAAGGTAATGCCTATGTTTTTTGTTTCATTTTTTCTTTATCTTTAAGCACGGGCTTTTCTACTAGTTATATATGATTATTTTGGACCAGAGTTGAGTTTTATACTTTCATATTAAAAAACAACTCGAATTTAAAGTTTTAAATGTAACCCGAAATATTTTATATAATAAAAATACTATTTTTATACTTTTTTCCTATATTCTTAGGTTTTGTTGTCATTTAATAAAAAAAAATGTTTTGTTATTAAGTAAAACAAAAGAAAAAATCGTCTTATTCCAAGCTTGGGTTTTATATGAGAGTCGAGCTTGGTCTAGGCCTAACGTGTTCTATTTATAAATAGGAAATGTGTGACCCAATCCAACTAATGAACATGTCCACCTATGATGCGGTGTGTAGTATCAGCGTGGACCTTAAATCGACACGCACCAGTAGCCTGAAATATAAGTTCGGGCCTAGTTGCTTTAGCTTATTGATTTAAGGATATGAATATTTTTCTTGAATAGTTTTTTTTTTTTTGTAAAAAGTAGCAAGAGAAAGTTTGTTAAAATAAACACAAAGTACAAAAACAACAAAAGTTAAGGTCTAATTAAGTCTTGGTTGGCGAAATCTTGGATCCACCTGGGTGGATCATGGACAAACAACCTAGACTCTTTTAGACCTCTCCTGGCTAGCATATGCACAACAACGTTACAAGATCTATTCACACGATTAAAAGAAATTGCTAAATCTTCAGTTAGTAACTTAATATCTCATGCACAAAAAGTTTGCATCAGAGACCAAGTCCAAATTTCCTGCCTTCAGAGCCTGCACCAAAATTTAACAATCGGATTCCACATCTATATTTTCCTCCTTGTATATACTCAAAACCTCTAGACTTTTGAGGATCGCCATCGCTTCTGCCTGGATGGGAGATGAAGCTGTTGATTTACCAAAAACTGTAGCTATTACTATTCCTTCATCATTCCTTAAAACTGCACCAAAACTTTAATTTCCATGACACAAAAAGGTCCCATCTACATTCATCTTGAGTTTCCCTACTCCTAGTGCTTCCCAAAAAGAACAACTCAACTCATTATGATTTGGATGTTGAGCAGAAGAATCTCGCAATTATACTTGGGAAATCATCACTCTCTCCCTCCAACCTGATTTGGGAATCGGGTCTATATTCTCAAAAGTTTTACCATTCATAGCCTTCCAGATATTCCAAAGTAAAATAAAAGAAAAAGAA